CTGCATTTTACTTTGTTCTGATGTTGTAACTTGGTTGTGTGCAGAGTAGAATTTACAACGCATTTCCAAACAGCTACCTTTCAACCTTCAGAAACATAGCATGAAGTGCTTTCAGTGGTATTAATTACATAAAGAGTATTAGTATCGAGTCATATTAGGCAGTCTGAAAATGTTTTTTAAGTTATAAAAACACTTCAAAAGCATTAATCAGCTTAAAAACATTCATTGCCACATACATCTCTCCACATATGTTCAATCACATTAGGAGAACACATCTTTTGAAATATGGCTCAAGCTAATTTTAAGCATGGTTGGAAAAGTTTGGCCTACGCTGATTAAAACCTATATTTAAATGAAAGGAAAATTTAACCACAGAAACTGTGCTTAGTTTAGAAAAATAAGCATATCACTGCCAAAGCGCTGTCCTAAGTTTAGATTGCTGTCTAACTAAAACATTACAAGAAACTAAAATGGATTTTTAAATGTTTCAAGATGAAACACCCATTGAGTAATTCGCAAGATATCCAATTATCTGCTGAATTCAAACATATAATGCTAATGCTTGATCCAAACAAATGCAGTCTGTAGATTGTTTCTTGTGAGGAAAATGAGCAAATCGATGTTAAAAATCAATAACAGCACTAGATTAAGAGAAACCATAATGAAACCTAGGAGCAAAATTACCAAGTGATGTGGAATTAATTATTCAGACATAAAGAATACTGTTTGAAGGGAAGGGAAGGAGTGTTTTGAATCTTCATCTACTGCTTCTGTCCCTCTGAGAGTTCAACAAACTGAATAAAGGCTTCTCGGATTTTTGAGGGAGGAAAGATTTAGGTTGGATGTCAGGGGGAAGTTCTTTACAGAGAGTGGTGAGGTGCTGGAACAGGCTGCCCAGAGAGGGTGTGGATGCCCCATCCCTAGAGGTGTTCAAGGCCACATTGTATGGGGCCCTGAGCAGCCTGACCTAATATTAAATGGGGAGGTTGGTGGCCCTGCATATGGCAGGGGGGTTGGAGATTCATGATCCTCGAGGTCCCTTCCAACCCAGGCCATTCTGTGATTCTGTTTTCCCCACTTTTAAAACTGCATCAGTGCCATATGAAGTTTCATGTAAACTCCCATACGTAGCAGGACAGTAATGTTTTCACCTTTGAATACCAGGGAGGGTCTTCCTAACATATTTGAAAGATCACATGGCATACTTTTCTAACTTCCAATTCATACTTGTATCTGGGTGAAATCGTTATCATGCCATCCACACTTCTTCTTTATAAAGAAAATAATAAAAAACAACACTCCACACACTAACCTCAGATCTGTATGTTTATTTTATGTACAATCACAATTCCAAGTACCTTGAACAGTTATCTAAATCTTGATCTGTGACAACCATCACTAGACTGATTTTCAATCAAGATCCCAGGCGATGAAAGTAACTCCCCTCCTATTTAGAACTGATCAGGACTACATGTACCTGTCAGAACCCGCACTGCTTATTATTGCTTCTGTTTGGATTACAAAGAGAAACGAAGTGCTTGGTTTTATTTCTTGTTTTCCTGTAGAAGCCTGGGTGTTCTGTTTCTTTTTGACTCTTGTAGTTACAACCACCTCAGCTGTTGCACTGACTTGGTGAAGGAGCACAGAACGGTATGTGAGCATGTCTGGGGACACAGCAGTTTGTAGGACACTGCCACAATTCAAAGACTAATTTCTGTAAGAAATTAGAACAGTTCCCAGAAAAGCTGAATCCCTTTCTACAAGCAAGGGCTGGTAAGCCACCTAACTGCTTCATATAGATTCCTTGGGCTGTCTATTCATTTAGTCCTAGAGCAAACAGATAAACATTTATTTTAATCATGAAGAATAGTGAATGTCTTAATGCTATGAGCTCAAAGCACTCAAGATTATGCTGTACCATTGAGAATCACTAGAACTAATGCATTACTTGCTCTCTTGATACTCAAAAGGACATCAACAGCAGGCCTATATCAAAGGGTGACAAAAAAGACAACAGCACTCAAGAGTGGAGAAGTCTCAGGACCACGAAGTAGCAGCCTTGGGAAGGCATGTTTAAAAGCAGTAAGTTTTTGAAAAAAAAAACACAGTTTTGCATTAATGAAATCCCAGAAAAGAATAAATCCACTGTCAGATTAAAAGTAAATTCATTTTCTCAAACTTGTTAAAAGACAGTGAGTGAACTAAGCGGAATAACTGTTTTTGTATTGATCAGAAAGCCTCCCCCCATTCTGTACTTCTAAGCATAAAAGAAACTCCAATAAACACAAACTGAATTAAAGATATGTATATTTTATAGTAGAGCAAGTTCACAAGGAAACAAGCTCAACTTGAAAGAAAAAAATATCTTGAAAAGAGAGAGATGATGTCTAGGCTTAAAGAAGTCTGCTAATGTTTCCCTCTAGCATCTCACTGTGCCTGCAGCAGCAACAAGGGCCTTTACAAAGCAGAACTGTCTTCAGGGGTGGTTAACTGTTCAGACAGATCAACAAAAAGGCACATGAAAACAAACTGCAGGCCTTTTCACACACTTAGAAGGGATCTGTTTCAAAAGTCAATTCTCTAAAGGTTCCATTTTCCCCTCTAATAGCTCTAAGTGTTGACCAACAGGCACAGTGCAAACAAGCCAGCTGCTACCAATCCATTACTAATAAAACATCAAACCAAATTTCACAACTCAATATCAGATACAGACAGTGGGGAATCTTACCTGCCTGCTCTCAACACCACAAGCTGAAGAAACAAACGAACAATGGGTAATGTAGAAGAGGATCGTCAGTGAAGAGCATGAATTAAGAGAAGAAAAAAGAACAAAGGAAAACAAAGATCACCTGTACACAATTAGCACAAGCTGAGACAAGTATTCCGTGTGTCCCAAGGAGTTGCAGTGGAAGACAGCAAAAGCAATGAGGTGCATGTTCTGGCAAAGCAGGGCAATGTGTGGGGCAGGGGAGATGACAGCCTACCAGCCAAAAGCAAGACAGGGAAGAAAGAAAATAAATTAAGACCGATAAAGCAAAAACTAGGAAGTGAAATTCCACCAGGAGAAGACTTGGATGGCAGAAGCCAGCAGAAGAACAGAATTTGTGCTTAGGACAGCTCAGGTGATTAAAAATTTAGTTTGGCATCATTAGAAGTAGTAGCTGAGGAAGCAGAGATTCTGCAAAAACACATGAAATACATGCCAGTCTCCCACTTATGAGACTGGAAAGAAGATTTGCTGGATCAAGTAACCTTAATGCTGCTAAAACTCCACAAGAATGTTTTAGTGAACATTTCTAATTTTCTTTTCAGATTACTTCTGTGAGAAGAGCAGGAAACTCCACAGAAGTTAAAACTTGTTAAGACTAAGAAGTCAGAATGTACCTGAATCAAGGGTTCTCTGCGTAACTTCGGTTTGGCTTTTGCAGGAAGACACAATACTGCTTTCCCCTCATGACTCTTGTCCTTAAAATCTAAAAAACACTTTGTAAGGGGTTTCTCTTTCTTTGCACAGGAGCTCTTTGGCACACAGAGAATTTATGGGGCTAAAAGTCACTTTGGATTTTTAATCCTTGCCTTCTTACCACATATTCCCTACATAGGGCTGCTTTTTTTTTTTTAATCCAAACTTTCCAGAAGCTTTAAGTGTAGCCCTTATTCTACCGAATGGGCAACTTGAGATTTGGTTTTTCAGGGTACGATTGCACCTTGTACTTAACCCACATTAGTGCAAAAGGAGAAAGTTTTCATTCATACGGTATCAAACGCTAATAGAATAGGTTCCCTCTGACAGGACACCCCCTTGGAACTGTTGGATCAACTGTCCCTGCAACCACCAGATCCATTACAAAGAAAGTAGCGGTAACCTATAACCTGTGATTGTGAAAGAGGGAGACTACGCTTTTTGGTTGCAGCCCACATATCAACCAATGTATTCACACTTAACTGTACCCTAACTTGCTGAGGAGCTAAAATGGCACAGCTGCCACTGAAGCTTATACTCAGAGCATTAAGAAAATACAACGAAATCTCATAAAAACATCAGCCAACATATTTCAGCTTTCTGTGTTCAATTTAAGATACATTTTTTAATCCATGTTTCCCTGCTTGTATAGTAATAAGAAAAACATCTATACTACAGCAGAATTAACTTGCACTTTGATAAAGGTTAAAACGTGGCTGTGATAATCACTACTGAAAAGTCCACAGGTCCAAAAGAGGAGCGTAGGCAGTGTTTTTGAAATGAGAAACACCTACCACAAAGTAAACAAGTTATGGCGACACTTAGCAATCAGTAAGCTGCCCATGACGTAAGCGTATTCCACTCCATGAAGTACAGCTTAAAAATAGACCAGTTACATCCAAACACTTATCACAATCAATATACATAAGCAGCAAAATGAGCTAGCACGCACAGCTTAACTCCAGCACTCAGGTCTCAGCAGGCAGTTATGTTCCACATCGTTTGACTACTAGAGCCTTGTCTGGATCCCCATTAGGGACCATGCAGGTCAAAGTTCAGCTTTGCTACAGAGCAAACAGAGCTGAGATAGCAGCACACGAGCCAGCAGTGCTGGCAGAAGTGACAACAGGCGCAGTAACCACAGCAACGCACTCAGCTACAGCTGGCAAAACCTGACTGATTTCTTCGTACATACAAGTCAGCAAGAGACTGCACTCCCTCCAAAAGAAAAAGCACCAAGGATCAGACTACAACAGTAACCCTCTGTTTATTCCTCTAGATGTAACAAACATATCAATCCCGAAAGCAAGGCTTCTCACACAGAGAACGTATTTCCAGACAAGCTCAAGCACTTCACTTCAGCCACTCCCCGCCCGGCATCTCCTACAACGCGGCCCCGCCTGCGGAGAAACGGGAGGCAGGTGAGAGGAGGCCGCACCTCGGCCATAAGCAGCCGGCCTGCCCGCTGCTGGACCACTAACCAAGGCCCAGAGCTCCGGCACGCCCCGACCGAAGGCTCCCCGGAGCCCGCCCTCACCTGAAAAGGGGCAGCGCAGCGGCGGGAGGCTCCCGCCTCGCTCACGGAACCGCCGCCCCGCCGAGCGCGGCCACAACAGCGCCCAGCGCCGCCATGGCCACGGCCGCCATATTCCCGCTGCCAGCGGCGACCTCTGACCCCCAATCACTTCCGGTCACGGCCGTCAAGCCGTTGTTATGGCGCCGCTCCCGGCCCCGGGCAGCCTTAAAGGGGCAGCGCGCCCCCCCGGAAGCCCTGCTGGCTGCTCCTGGGCTCGGGCAGCGGGGGTTTAACGTAGAGACGCGGCACGGCGCAGCGCTTACAGTTCAGCCGCGTGCCGTCCTCGCGAGCAACGGTTTGATCGAAATGACAGGAATTCGCATTGCAGAATCTGTCCTGCCGCTGCCAGGCCTTTCCCCCAAAAGCAGGGCAGCTTGGCTGGGGCTCCCAGCCCCTCCAGAGTGACCCGGTCAGCGGGTGTAGGGCTGCAGTGAACGGCAATAAACAAAACAGAAACAAGAAGCATTCCTCTTAATTTTGCTATTAGCTTCGAAAGGACGATGGCTAATCAGCCACTGAGTGCCGTGTGGTGGGCAAAAAGCTGCACCATGACCGATTTTATCATCAAATAACCTGCCAAGAGCCAAAGCAGCAGCAAAGGGCCACGGAATGATTTCCGTCGTTACTAGAGCTGGGCTGGGGGTGGTTGCCCTGAACTCTCTCTGAAACTGGCAATATTTCAGTTTTTATTGCACTGAACTTTACTGCTGCTCAGTTAGTCATTATATACCCTTTCTACACATGTGTTTTTATAAAGTAAACGGATCTGGAGAAACCTCCCCAACCCAAGAAGGAAAGCTCCAGGAGTTTTCAAGGGAAGTTTTATGCTGTGTTAGACCAAAAGGAACACGTGCCCAACTCCATGGATGTGCTGCATTAGGGCCAATGTGACCTGGGCTCTCCATCTGAACCCCCCCAGCCATTTTGTGTGCACAGCAAACAAATCCCTTAGAAAACCTTCTACAAAAGCACAGATGCCAGGCAAAACCTGACCCTGTAATCAAAATCTGAGTCTTTGTATTTGTAGCGCAGGGAAACCATGGCTCTTCATAAGCTTGATAAGCTAGTAATGGGTAAAAATGCCTATGACTTAATGTCATAGGATGAAGTTCTCTGTGAATAAACCCATGCTAAAATGGGTTAATAAAATGTTGAAGTAGATTTTGTGGTTAAGCAAGTCTGTTTCACACACCGGCATTTAATGCTTTGCACCAAAAGCAGCCCAGACACTTGCCATCTTGCTCTGTCATTGTGGCTCTGGGCACAATCCTTCTGCCTCTTGTACAGCAGGAATAGTGACACTTTCTTCTGGAAGTGGTATGAGAAAATACTAATTAATATTCATAATTTGATAAGATAAGAAAATGTGAAACGTTATACGGCTTTGCTTGTTACGGTGCAAAACACTTAGCTATACGAACTTCCAGGTAAGACATTTTACTTATGCCTGTGGAGAAAACAATTTGTTAAGACAGATTATAACACGCAATTGCATTCCTGTTTTCCTCAAGGACCACACAGCCATTCTGTGCAGTTCATAAAGGCATCATTTTGTCATTGAAGTGCAGTCTCCTGTGAGGAAGAACATTGCTCTTTTCAGCTATTCACCACAGCACTCTACTAGAAAATGCATGGAATTGCATTTCCAGCCACAGCTACACGGGCATTGTATATAAGCCCTTGAACTTCTCTGAGGTGAGTTAACATAGCCATTTTGTTAGAAAGCAAATAGTCTACTTGAATCTATACATGCAGTCATAATGCCCCTACAGTTTTTGTGAAAGTGGAAAGTACGATTTCTGCAGCCAAAGACAACAGTGAGGGGAAGAAAAGAATGTTCAGTATTCAGCAAAAAGAAAGAATCTGGCTGACTGGAAATGTATGTACATTTTAAAAGGCCTTGTTAAAATAATATTAGGTACTGGTTTTACCTCTGCAAAAATAATGCTGTTTGAAGCTGTAGTCAAGCTTTTGACATGTTTGAAATAAAACAACTTAGATTTAATTTAGGCCCAAAACAATTCCTGTGTGGAGAGCTGGCAGCAAGGAGGCCTGATTTCTGACATATTTATTCCCTGCATCCCTCAGCTCACCTCCTTCCCTACTACACTGATTTCATCTCCTACCCACACCATGATCAACAACCCCTCTAGGTAAGAAGTGGTAGGTATAGGTTGGCCAGAGTGTACCAGCTGCCAAGAACAATAATGATGTTTTCTCACTGGGAGCACAAGTTTATTTCTTTCTCCGCTGGGATGCTGTCGGTATTAACAAATCTTCTAGGAAGGTAATTGTTTCTGAAACCACTGCTCTTCCATCAGACCTGACAGAAATTTGTCTCTCAAGCTATTGGAGGAGAACTCACAGCCAGGCTAAAAGCCAGCATGGCTGGAAAAAAAAGAAAAAAAAAAGAAGAAAAAAAAAAAAAGAGAGAGAGAGAGAGAGAGAGAGAGAGAGAAATTAACTATGGAATCAATGAAAATCTTTTTGGATGGGGTTGGAATTAAAAATGATTCAGACTTTGTAGTTGGGCAACACCTGAAAAGTAGAAAGTGAAAAGAGGTGAGGCAAGCTATCATCCATCCACTGATAGGGCATGGAAATGTGTAAATGAAGAGGTAAGAATTTAAGACCTCAGTACTAACACAGCAAAAGCATGTTTTGGGGCTATAGGCAGGGCAGGATTTTAAAAGGTTTTCAGTGATACGATTTGCTGTGTGCCCCTTCAATCTGTCACGTGTAGGCCACCATAGCTCACCAGGGGTTTACAAGTAGCATCATAGAGCTCGTGAAAAAGCAATAAGAAAGTGATGACGGAGAGGAGGAGAAGCTTGAAGCTGGCTTCTTTAACGACAGCAACACACCTTTAACATTTTGCATTTTAATCACTATTGCTTAGCTCTGTCTTTTACTTGCAGATAAGAGCTCCCCTGGGGCCTCTATCAGTGCCCAGGGAAATGACAGACCATGTGGCACTCAAGAAAAAGAAAAAAAAAGGAGTGTGGAAAATATCTTTAAGCAGCCAGTCACACCCCCCTAGAACTGCCAAAAAACAGCAGATAAAAAAATTCTGTTGTCCCATTCCTTGCAAAATCCTCAGTGATTTGTGAAAACACTCTAGCAGCTCATGCTGTATATGTTCTGGGCTATGCTTGCATCAAAATGTCTTCAAATTGTGACCCGCAAGCACTTTATGTGTCTGGCAAGAACCTGCTGTTCACATGGTTATTTCCACCTGCTAAATAAGATCAGAATGTATTAAATGCTTTTCTAATGATCCTTTGACATGTAAGCAACTGCAAAGTTAGACTCAAGTTGTAAAATGATAAATTGAAGAAGTGAGAAGAATCGGAAGAGGAAAGGACTGTGTGATAGAAAGGGAAGGATGAGAAGGGATCATAAATGCAACAGGTGAGGGGTTGTGAGATGCTCTCCCCAAAGACTTCCACCCCAGAGAGCAGTGGAGATACTGCCATCAAGGCTTCTGTGTACTCTGTTACCCCTTTAGAATGGCTCGGTGCTGATCCCTAACACATCCCCGTGATGTGCCCTAACACAACTCATGTGGCTCATTTGCAAAAACTGCAGTATTCCACCTGGATTTTTCCTCTCTCTTGAGCTTCTGTGCAAATTTAACTGCTTGTAAGAAGAGCTGAGTTACTGGATATCTGGTTCATTCACCTCCTTGCCTTCATTTTCCTGCTTTTTCTGGAGAGCTGGAGATAAGGAATTGACAAGCCAACATAAGGACTTTCACTTCTCCATCTGCTTATAAAGGAAACCAGATACCAGATCCCACATACCCTCTTAGGTGTGGAAATTCATTAGCTGCTCATAACATGCCTGAGCTGCACTTGTTAAATTTTTCAAGAAGGGGCCCTGACTCAAAGGGTATCAGCACAGCAGTGTGCATCGAAACGGGAGGCAGTGACAGCATGGAAAGACTGCACTGATTTAAGCTAGTACAATATTTCTGGTGCCAGTAAGGTAGGCATGTATCTCTGGAGACAGACTAAACTTGTTCTTTTGCACAGTCCCATGAAAAGCAAACAACAAAGGCCTCTATTTACTGCCCTACAAAAATAGTAACTGGCACAGGTGACATAATGAATTTAGGTGATTTGTGAAACACCATGAGTTTAAATGCTTTTTCCTCTCAAATTCAAAAGCCATCTGCAGGTATAACCATGAAAGGTAATTCAATACATTGCTGGTTCTGTGGGTTTTCTGTGTGTGTGTGTGATTATTTTTTTTTAACTCCTCAAAGCCTAAGAGAAGATGGATTTAATTCAGAAATATTTGTTTGATTTATTGGCTGTTTGGTTCACAGGAGACTTCCCACAAGGGCAGTAAAAACCAAGACTGCCTTTTTACAGTACAAAGATTTTACACTGCATCCCTCTCAGTCTTTTTAAACATGCCTCCCTCTTGTTTAAAATACTAAAATATTCCATTCATCATGACTCAGAAATTTCAGAGATGGAAATGATCTATTAAGTCTTACGATCCATCTCCTGAACACTGCAGAACTGCTCTGTGCAGTGCATTTGTATTTTTAACATGCTGTCCATCAATTTAGAAGGTCACATTACCAAGGTGTTTTGACTCACATTTCATGTTTGTGTAAACAAATACATGTTTGCTGTGTTTTGGTGCGGTCTTACAGATATGCCAGAGAAAGAAGGCAAGTAGTAGCCAGGATAAATGGCAGGGGTCAGTATTAGTGGTTTGTTTTGATGTTAAATGTGATTGGTGCTGTGTGCAGTGGGCTTTCAGCTATTCCTCTTTGGAAAACAGTCACTCTAATGTCAGTCATTAGCAATTTACTGCTGGTCAGTTGGGAACGGCATGCTTTCTACAAATACCTTCCATTAGTCACTGGTTCTGGTCAAAATAGCTGGTTAGAAGAGAGAGCAAGCCTGTGTGACAGGAGTTAACAGGATGGCAGAAAGTATGGGTCCGTTATCATAAGACACATACTTAACATTTTTTGAATGCCAAAACTTAGCCAAACAGGCTCTGATCTCTTTTATGTTGAGGTCAGGCTGAGCTGCACCACTGACATCCAATGGAGCCTTTTGAAAAACCAAGGCTAATGTACATGAGATCACTGTCTGGCAGCGGTACAGAAGTACATTTGCTTGTCTCTGAAATGCAGTCACCTCTGGCTTGAAACATGGCAGCTGTTTAACATCAAATGGTAAAGATGTTGACCAGTATGTTTCAGAAACGAAGGAAGAGATAGAGGGGGAAGAACATGGAGGAGTCTCACTAGTTTTGCATTCCTGTCATCAGCCTGTTTAGTAGAAGCTTCTATGACAACTACACGTGCTGTCAGTTCAGATACTTGCTGTTTTGACAGCCTTTTGTCTCACTGAAAATAAGCATTTGGGCATGATAGGAGACAAAAGGAACTAAAGGATATAGCTTTGTACTAAAGAGAAAAATGATGCGGCTGAGAAAACATGTCAAAGTAGCACATCAGCATTCAGCTAAGTTGTTCTTATCAGGGTCTTCAGTTTCCTCATCGTACAAAAGGTTGCTTTAAGATCATAGAAGTCATTTTAGAGCCTATAAAAAAATATACTGGGACTCACATGCAGGCATGTTCAATCGCAGAGCAGAAAGAGAAGCAGCAACTTTTGAATACAAAGCTGCTTGTTTCTGGAGCAACATACAGGGGACTGGGTTCCCTGTTCCCCAGGGTCCAGGTAGGAGCCTGAGGGTGTTACTGGGAAACTCCCTGGAGGAGACAGCAGAACCCAAACAATGGATGGGGATCAGAAAGGGGACAGAGGAGCCAGCCTTGCGTAAGTCATTTCTCGAAGTTACACAATGGAGAATAATACTAATGCAGTTTTATAATGCATTCCTACAGAGATTTAAAATGCTTTGAAAAGGTAAGTAAATATTATATCATAAGATGACAGATGGACGATCCGAAGCGATGCGGAAGTAAATGGCTTCCTTGTAGGTGTATGGAGAGTCAGAAGGGTGGTGGGGAGGAGAAGTAATGTCCCTGGAGCCCTCGGATTGCTCAGGGCTGGTGGACAGAAGAAAAACTGGCAAGTTAGGAAGAAATTTTCCCTAAATCAGGAAGCAAATCAGAAGAGAGAAGCACATTTTTCAAGATGGGAAAAGATGTTTGGTGAAAACATTCCCAGGATTTTATTATCTTTTTCTAATGTGAGCCAAAGGATCGTATCCAAGTTTCCAGAGTTGATTCTTCACAGGAAAACTAGGCTAATAAAAAGCAGAGCAATTGCACAGTAAA